ATGGTGTTTGGAGTGGGGAGCAGAGGAGACGGAGACGGAGATGGCAAGGATGGCTCCTGGGCAGGCGTCGGGCGGGGGTGGGGCTGCAGGCGCAGGGAGGCTCCCAGGCTGGGGGGTGAGGTGGGGAACTGGCAGTGGCTCCGTTTGGAGCCTGGGGCCTGGAGGATGGAAGTTCGGGGGATGTGAGTCGTTGTTCGGGTGCCGGTAGCTGTTACCTCCCAGGGCCACGCCGCTCCCACCTTGCAGGAGTGCTCAGTGAGCAGGAAGGCCTGGGGCAGTTGGGAATGGGGCTGTGGTGGGTGTCGGCGAGCTCCGGCAGGGCTCTAGTGGGCACCCCTCTGAGGTCCCCACCCCCCCCCCGTGATGCAGGAGCTGGAGAAGTGCGAGGCCAACCACTACATCATCCTGTTCCGTGACGCCGGCTGCCAGTTCCGGGCGCTGTACTGCTACTACCCCGACTCGGAGGAGATCTGCAAGCTCACAGGCACGGGGCCCAGGAGCATCTCCAAGAAGATGATCGACAAGCTGTACAAGTACAGCTCGGACCGCAAGCAGTTCAACCTGATCCCAGCCAAGACCATGTCGGTCAGCGTGGACGCGCTCACCATCCACAACCACCTGTGGCAGCCCAAGCGGCCGGCCGCGCCCAAGAAGACACAGGCGCGCAAGTGAGGCGGACAGGCCGAGCGGTGCCCACACCCATCTTCATTCTCGTCCGTCGGGTACGGAGTGCAGAGGCACAGACCTTGAAGAGACTGGACAGAGGGCAGGGTCCCTTCCCGCCCAGGAGCCAGAAGGAGCGGGAGGGTGCACGCCGGGTCCGGGCCAGGCTGCTGCCGTCACACTGTCCCCAGGGCTGTCGGTGGCTATGCGTGCGGCAGGTTCCTGTTACTTGAAGTCCGTCAGCGTAAACCACAGCGATTCCCTTTGTCTCTGCCCCCCCCCCGCCCCACCCCCCTGCACTCGGCCCAGCCCCTGCGGGCGGCGACCTCGGGAGGAGAGGGTTCTCCCTCGGGAGCTCGACCCGCCTCCAGGAAAGGAACGTGCGTCTGGGGTCTTGTTCCCTTGGAAACTGATATTTATTGATGGTGTCAACTGCCAACGTGTACGTCCAATCCCAAGGTTTCTGAAAACAATGCTCGTTCTTGCTGCTCAGAAGTTTACGAGACGCTCAGCCTTGGGCGGCTCTCCCACTCGGCCGCACCGAGGGCTGCGGGACGAGGGGCGTGGGCCTGGCCGTCGGCGAGGAGGGCAGGACGCTGGTGGCTTGTCCACGGGGATAAAGGCAGGTTTGGGTACAGCACTTTGCCACTCAGCATGTTTCTCTGCGGAGGTGACCCTGGAGTTGGCTCCCTTCGCGTTTCTGTCCGACTCGTCCGTCTCGGCTCCTGCTTCTGGCGGAGCGGCGCCTGGAGCATGCGTCCTCGCCCACGCTGGCCATTCGGTTTGGCCGCCGACTTAGAACCTTCACACGGTCACGTGCTGTGTCCTCGGAGCTCCGAGGACGTGGGAGGCTCCGGGCCTCGGAGCAGACGTTCCCCGGCCCCTGCGTGACACCCGCTGCTCCGGCGGCCGCAGACCCTGGAGTCACGCGTGTTGGTTTTGCACATGTTTTCTTGGGAGTGTTACTTGAATCTGTCTCCAACTGCAGAACAAAGCGAAGGTCAGTAGAGAGGATGTCAGATGATGTGACTGTCCCGTAGTTGTAGGTGGAGAGGGGGCAGGGGAAACGGTACGAACCCTGAAGGGATGTAGGGACCCCCTTTCCCCTCCTCC